TTTACTTAACAATTGCAAATGCAAACACACAACAGCCAACCGATTCAAAGGGAATATCAAAACGAGTGGTGTTTCGAACGAGAGAGTCGAGTGGAGCAATAGCAAATGTTTAGCTTCTATTTCATCTCGCTGTTGTACTCTTTTGGTCCCTGTTTTACTCTGTCTCTCTTTAAAAATGTCGATTTTGCTTATTTCTTTACTCTTTATTTCTCTTTTTTGCTTGCTCTGTTAATCCGTTTGCATCTCTTTCACTAGCTCATTTCGTTGGTTCGATACAAGAAGTCTAAATCACCAGTTTTGCACTTATTGAATGGGATTCGGTGCAATCTCCGACCGCCGTGTGTGTAAAATGCAGACAAAGGGATTGAGGAGCTCGATTGATCCAGTTAGTAAAGCGAATGAAATTACATGCATTGAGAATTAAGCACACACATGCAACACATGCTACGCTGCTACGAGTTGAACGTAATTCCGTTTTTGGAATTGAGCATATCGAGAGAATTTGTTGTTGCTGTTGTTTCTATGCTCTGGTTTTCTGAAACGGGCTGCCAACAAGGAGAAATATGTTATTTGCCATGTTTAACAACAGCATCTTATGAAACATATTATTAGCAGACAACATTCAATTTAACCTGTGTGCAATCGTACTCTCTCTTTCTCTCTCTCGCTTGCAAATCCACTACGCTACGCTAACGTACTCGAAACCAAATAAACAAACACCGATGTAAACAAATCGCTGTCCGTGCACTTCAAGAAACGCGCTATACGAAACGTTGAATAAAAAAACAAACTGCAACAACAACAGCTCGGCGACTTGGAAAAACAACTCTATCTAATTGTGTTTTGTTTCAGTCTCGCATTCGCGGCAACTCGGCAGAGATCAGTGTGATTTATCACAAAATCGCTGTTGTACGTTTAAAAGGTGAATGGCGCTCATGCCCGGCCGTCTCTCAATTCGCCTTTATACACTTCTCACTGTTGCGTATTGAATCAATCTTCAAAAGTCTCTCGATAATCAAACTACCGAAAACTCCCCAATTTCACACTTTTCAACCGAGTCAACTCCGGCTGCAGTGAGTGCATTTTGGCCGATTGCACGAGACAATGAACTCAAAGAAGAGTTGCATCTTCGTTTAGTTGGAGAAATTCCATACAAATTACACGTTCCGTATCCAATTGAACTGTGTGTGTGTGTGTATGTGTTACATATTCATTATTTATTGAACAAATTCGTGCCGAATTGCACAAAATGCAGTCACACAGAAACACTCAACGCAACGACTCATGTATCAACATAGAGAGAAAAACCAATTACATTTCAAACTGTACTTGATGCAACTAGATATATTCACAATTTGAAATATGCGAACCGGCAAATGTTTATTACCGTTGGCATTTTGGACGCATAACATTCGGGAAGTTATTTTATGTGCGTGTGCTTACCATTTTGACTCAATGAATTTCGAGATTGTTTGACTTGAATAAGTTTCATTTGGAGGCGAAGAACTTTTTTCTGGAGTTTTGTTTGAGCTTGAACAGCTTTTCCTGAAAACTTTTCGCTAGAATAACTTGGGTTTATTCAATTATGGGTTATGAATCTTGCGTCAAATATTCTAAAGATAGAATTAATTTTGACATGTTATCTTTATATTTAATATTTGCATTTGGTTTGATACATTTTTTTTCCTTCAAAAGTTTTACGCATCATTTTGAATATTCCATGGCAAGAAAACGATTGCCGTCGCATCCCCTAGTTCATATTCTTTTCAAACGGGAACTTTCCATTTTAATATTCAAACTGACTGAGTCAAGTTTACTTTTGGGTCGACTTTTCACTTTTTATTTGTGATTGATGTTCATTGGAGCCCATTTTGGCTTATGTAGATCATGAAAGTGAATGAATCAATCAAATGAATCTAATTTTGAACTTGTACCAACATTTGAACATGATTAAGCTTGCAAATTAATGGAGTTAATATTTCACGCAAGTCTTTTTTCTCCGCTCGATGTCGTTTATGCTATAGAGAAATTTAATCCGCTTTTTTGTTTCAGTCAGAGGAATCGGGCTCGTGTTTTTGCCAAATTTAGCTTTAAATATAGCAATAAAATTGACTAAATTGATGCTTAATGAGTCTCTGTTTCTTAATTTTTATTACCTATTTAATTGGCACTCACTTCACGTATATGGTCAATAAAAAAACAGAAGGAGATGACATCGGTCCAAGTGGCACTTGTGCTTTTGTTAGCGGTAAATCGATCATCAGGTTTTTTAAAAAATCTGAATTATGTTTTTAAATGACTTTGAAACGGCGTAGATTTCAAATTTAAAAACAAAACCAAAACACGAATTCAAACGAAAGGTCGCCAAATCAAGGTGAAGTTAAAATTAAAACTCCAAAACGAAATGATAAAAATAAAACTAAGCCAGAAAAAATAAATTGCAGCCAAATAACGGATTGGAATCGGCTGATTTGAATGGTTTGGAGCGAAAATGTAATACAGAAAAGTTGAGCGGCAAAATGTCGATGATGAATGAGCGGAAAAGGGATAGCTATATAGTAAACTGTATAGTAAACTATAGTGAACTATATAGCTATCCTTTTTCATTTGACATTTTTCCGCTCAACTTTTCTGTATTACATTTTCGCTCCAAACCATTCATTTAAGCTAGCCTATTCGAAATTGGATGTAAACGAAATTCAAATTTAGTAAAAAAAAATTTCAGCATATCGAATCGGGCATCGCAATCTGATATGTCCGACAAGACATCACTATCTGTGGGAAATCTTGACACGAACGAATGTGAAAAAATCATTTTGAAAAATGATCGCATGCAAAACTACGATGTGTGTTGGTCGAAGAGTTATGCTGTTTTCTTCTTCTTAATAAAATGAATATCAGAAGTGAGCCAATTATTGCGATGAATCGAAAAGTGCGAAACGAACACATGTTCACAAGAGTGCACAATGATAAATTGAGCACGAAACATGTCAGGTTGAATCAGCACCTGACGAAATACGAACGCTCTCGAAAGTCAAATGCTTTAATTAAAAGGCATACTTCTGTTTAAATGAAAAACAACAGCACGCAATTAGGAGCGAAAATACAAAAAAACAACAACAAACAATCGTTACTATCAACATTTATACTTTCAAGAGAACGATTCGGTCGACAGTGATGTGTGTATAACAATTTTATCATGGTTGAAAAAAAAGGTTCCATCACACACTTCCATTGCGAATTCGCACCAAAAACAATGAAAAAGAAACTATGCACAATTTTCTTTGTCTCTCTCTCTCTCTCTCTCTCTCTCTCTCTCTCTTCAAACACGACCACGACATACATTCTGAAATCCAGCCATGACGAACTATTTCTTCAGCGGCTCCTCTATGAATGGAGTATGGAGAGAGAAAAAAACAAACAGCAGAAACAACAACAACAAAAATGAAAGAATTTTACAAGAGCGCCTTAAAACACCAATGTACACTTCACAGAGATGCCAAGTGTAACAAGTTGATTCACATTCGCTTTTCAGTTTTCGATTTTTCCAGTACGGTTGTTGTTGTTGTTTCTGTGCGCAGCATTTGCAACAGTACGAAAAATTATGCACTCATTTCCTATAAGTGGCTTCAATTCAATTAAAAGAAAGAAGAAAAAAAAAGCTTCAATGAGAACAACAAAGTCATAAGAAACAGAACAATCATCTTTGATTTTCGGAGTCCCATTAAATATGTGTGATTGTAGGCGAAGAAGTGAGAATACTTATGTGCACAAGTGGTTTGAAGAAAGCGTGCGGATGAATAAGATGAAGAGATAAAAAGTGAGAGAAGTAGAGAAATGGCAGAGGAAAGAGAAAGAAATAGTTCATGATAGAAGAGAAAAACGAGCGAGAAAGAAAGAAAATTGAAAAATGACTACGTAAAAATGAACTATTTACTAGAAACAATGGAGTTGTGATGTGCAAGTGCTATGAAAATGTAATAAACACTAATAAGAGAGACACCGAATCAGAATATATGCAATCTGGATGAAAAAAATAAAACAAAACGAACTAAATTTCAAACAATGACAATTGTTTACACCTATCGAATATATACCAATAGAGAGATTGAGAGAGAGACATAGCGAGAAGAAAAATGCACGGTTTAAAGAAAACCACATCAATTGCTCTGTATTAAACAATTGGTGAAACTAGTGAAAGAAACACATTAGCACAATTAAGCTCTTGTTTGGATCGCTTACAAATCATCATAATCAGACACATTTTCACACATGCCATTAACTGGTTCATATCCATCGTAAAATGAATCTCACATTTGGAGTACATTTAAATTTTATTTTCATTACAACTCGGTTTTTTTTCGTGTTACGATTTCACGACGCTTTTTTTCCATCTATAAATTTCATTGGGTGTCTTTTAAGATTGCATTAACTCATGTAATGTATGTTGATGCATTTTGAAGAAGTGATGAATTTAAATATACGTAAAAAACGTGACGAGTGCAGTACTTTGCTGGAAATTATGCCAAAAGATAGCTCATACATTTAGCGCTGAGTGAATGAGACTCATAAAATAATTCTCGATGAAAGATGAACACTGACCTCATTCCACACGAAATAGTTTTTGAAGCTCATAAATTCGGAGCGAAAACCAACAATCATAAATCAGAAAAATTACAGCTAAAGTAAAATTTCGGAACCAAACGAATTCATCAGCAAAAACAACAACGACAACAACAACAACAGAACCAAAAAGCAGGCAAGCAAACCAAATTGGAAGTTTGCAAACTTTTGCCAGCGAACTAAAAACGCCACAAATTTACTTTTTGAACGAACAAAAATTTGTAAGCAAAAATGAGCATTTCATTTGGAGATATATCATTTCTACTTCACGAATAGGTTGAGCAAATGGAAATAACAAAGATTTATTTTTTCGGATACGGTAGTCCCTAGAATTTTGTGAAAAGAGAAAAAAACAACAACCAAATGACTGGACATACCTTCAACTTTTCCTAGGGCCAGCACACATATCGTCTGCAGTGCTGGTATTGCCCATGCAATCAGATGGAATAAATGCGATTTATTTTCGATGGCTTCGTGGCCCCATTTCAGTCCAGCCGCTAAGAACCAGGCGAGCGCCAAACAGGCCCACCATGCAAACGCCGCCATACAACAGAAATACAATGCCATAAATAAAATGGTGCACAACGTTGATTGTCGGTGTCCCTGTATGAAAAATAAGAGAGAGAGAGAGAGAGAGAAAAAAGAAAATCGCACAAATTATTAACATGCGCATTAATTCAAAGTTTAAAAAAAACGAGAGCAGTAAACGAATTAAAAAAATGAGAGAAAAGTAAAAACTAAAGTTACACAAACAACTTTGAGAATAGTTTTTTGCTCGAGCTTAAACCTCATTTAAAATTAGTTACTTTGGCTACGAATTTTTGCATTTTATTGCTTGAAATTCGCTATATTTTTTTGTTGTCTCCTTCAAAGATGGTTTTGAATAACCAAACGATATCAAATTGTCTGCATATAAGAGTGAGAGAGACTCTTCATAGACACAATGAGCGACTTTCTCGGCGGAGACGTCGAAATACGGACAATCTAAATTTTAATAAGTTAATTAAAAGAGATATGAATGGGCAAGTGGAATAATGAAACGTAATTTTTTTTTAAAATGAAGAGCCCCTGAAAATTTTTTGCAGTAAAAGTGCCCCACAAAAATATTGTCTGAATTGGTTTTCATGAATCACTTTTACTGAAAAATTGTTTACGAGGCGATTCAAATTGAACCAAAAAATATTATATGAAAGAGTGCCTCACGAAAAATATGCAATTTGAATCGCCTCGTAAATTTTTTTTTCATTAAAAGTGGTACATGAAAACAAATTCAGACAATTTTTTGTGGGTCACTTTTACTGCAAAAAATTTTCAGGGGCTCTTCATTTTACAAAAAAATCACGTTTCATCATTCCGCTTGCCCATTCATATTAAAGTGCAAATGAAATGGCCCAATAAAATGATATCTCTACGTTTTATGCGAAACATCAGACTATTTCAACTATTTGTATAAATTTACAAACATCGGGCTATATTAACTATGACCACAAGCATCAATAATATTCGCTTGACTGTGTATAGCCAGAAATGAAATCGTGTCTACGTTTTTCGGCGAAATGTTTGCACGAAAACAAGACACAAATGCATTATTATCGCCGAAAAAAAAAGTCGAAACAAAATGAGCACTCGAATTTCCTACGGCTTGCAAACCAAATGTCTTCCACACATTATTTATATTTGATTTTATTTTATTTTCAATGTACAATGCTTCTCTCGTATCTTAACTGCTGCTCTTTTCGTTCGCTAACATTGTTCGGATGCGTTGCGATGTGAGTTAAAATACACACCGAGAGGGAGAGGGAGAGAGAGAGAGCGGAGAAACAAAGCAAGCATGTAAGCAAAAAAAAAAATGATACAGTTCTGTGCCGATTGAATTGGTGATATGCGCCGCTTGTCGATATATTTCCGCTGTCTATATGATTGTTTGGGCCATTGCTCGGCAGAAGCATTTGTGCTATGCGCTCGCGAGAGATCGACGACGAGTGTATGCTGTGTTTTTTTTCTGTATCTCATCTGTACATGGCATTTTCTGCGATACAAAAGAACCCGAACGGACTTCATCGTAGTCGTCGTTGTCGTCGCTTTTTTCGTGTTGTACGCAACAAAATGCATTGAATGACGGGGCCGGAGTGTAAGTTAGGCGTAGATTTACACTTGAGTTATTGTGAATTTTGTGTAGCTTGAGCGTACGCGTGCTCGATATGTGACTCGTTCGTTGGCATCAAAGAGCGGCCATCTCACAGCTTCGTCGTCGTCGTCGGCTTGCTATCTCCTATACATTCTTCTGTATACGCTGTCTGATAAACTCATGTTTCAGTTCGTTGTGTATTGGTTCCTCTTTTTCCACTCACTCTCTCTCTCTCTCTCTCTCTCTCTTTCTCTTTCGCTCTCCTCAATCGTTCCGTTTGTTAACCAGTTCTTTCGTCATTCTTTTGTTTGGCTCTCTTATGCTGTGCTCTCTCTCTCTCTCTCTCTCTCTCTCTCTCTCTCTCTCCCTCTCTGTGTGTGTGTGTGTGTGTCGTCGCTTCAAGTAAGGCAAGCGCACAGACAATTTTATTTATTCTCTTCGCTTGAGAACAACGACAACTGTTTCAATTCTGTTTGTTACAAATATTTATTACATTATAGGATTTGTTTGATGTTTTGCTGCATATTTTGCTCCATCTTCGTCGTCTCTCTTCCATCCCATTTGTGATGGGGTTTTTATTCCCTTCAACTCTTCTGCTATGGCCTTTCTTTTTTGCCGCGCGCGCCTTATCATTCAATAACTTTACAGAGATGAACGAGGAGAGTAAATGGAAAAAAAACAGTATAGCAAATGCCCATATACGCAAACTGCAAATATGCAGTAATCGAAACTGAACTTTACCTTCAATTAAAAAAAAACAGCCATCCCTTTCATTATTATCTGGCAGCAATAATAAATGGCAATAAGATATTGGCCTATCAAAACAATCCGTAACATGTACACTGTACACGCGATACCCGAACGGCCCAGTTGAATATCATCATTTTTTTCCCTCTTCAATATATATCAACACAAACACATAGAAACGGAGTCGCGAAGACGAAATATTAAGAGATTGTTCTATGGTTTTCTTTTGTGTGCCAGAGAGTGGATCAAAGGCAACAACATATTGCGATGAAAGGCAAAGGCCCAGTTGAAACAGTGAATATCGTCATTTTTTTTCCTTCTTCAATATCAACACAAACAAATCAGCAACAGATAAAAGAAAACATTGAAGACAGATCAACGTGTGTTTTTCTCTTGTCCCTTCCTCGACTCTTTCTTTATCCCCCCCCGACAGCTATTGACAATTAACAATCGCTATTTGAGCTGATACGTTTTCTTTTGGTTGATTAATTGCAATCCGCTACGGTTGTATAGTCGTTTATTCATATTTTATTGCGGCACACGTAAATAAGTCATTTCTCACCGATGAAAATTGCGTCTCCGATGCCTTAATTGAAGCAAAGCCTCCTCCATGAAATCCCAAATATAAAAGTTTTATGCAAAAAAATCTTTTTTCAAAACAGAGGAAAATAAACATCGTCAAGAACTTTATAACATTTTTTTTTTCAGTTGGAAAAATGTTTATCTCGCGATAATAAAAAAATATATTTTTATGATTGCATAAAATGAAAATCAATGTTTGATTTTTTCGCTTGAAAAAAAGAGTAAAATGCAGATTTATGATCGCAATATTAATTGTTTCGCACGTTTTTTTGGATTGAAAAGATGGAAACGTTTACAAGACTAATTGCGTTTACACGACCGTAAACCATTTGTTTTTATCATCAGATATTAAAGCCTTTTGAAATATTTCTCTGAAAACCAAATGTGGCGTCTCAGCGAATGACTTGCCACTAGCCAAAAAAAGGCGACTACATCATTGCCTAAAGAAATGTTGCCCATCGCCTTGCTTTGATCCGAAAAAGAAATTACATACAACTTTCATCGAAGCGAATCACACCGAAAAGAAATCGAGACAAAGTCAAATTAAAACGAGACTTATTTATAGACGAATCATGAAAAAATGGAAATGTTCGTCCAAAAAAGAGAAAAATACCTTGTGATGCCTTGGATGGTCTATGTTTGGATGATCGATGAAACGAAATCCATATGCACGCAAATGTTGCGACAAAGGCAAAAACTCAGCCAAAACAATAAACACACGCCGGATAAACCGATTGGTGTTTCAATGTGGCATGAATATTTTAACAAAGGCACCAAATCATTTGTAACAAACTCGTATAGGACCATTTGATGAACAAATGTTGACGAAAACAAAGCTGGCGCACACGGAATATATATATATATATATATATATATATATACAACTTTCTTTGTATGTAATGGTTCTCTCCTTGAAGTCTCCAAATCTGTTGCGTCGTGGAACACATGACGTTTAAATGGAATTCTTAAGCATTGATACGAATGTACTTGGGCCAGAGACAGAGAGTTTTGTGATTAATCGAAGTCATGCTGAGGTGAACACGAACAAAGACGAACAAACATAAAGCTAAATTCACAGAGAGAGAGAGAGAGAGAGAGAGAGAGATCGATTTCTTCTCGAATCAAAGAAGATGAATGACAACGCATCTTTAGTTGGAAGCATTTCGGATTTGGTAACGAAATACGACGACAGAATATTAGATAGCTTGTTAATACCATCTCAAAAGACAGTTTAATTTCAAACGAAATAGCAATGAACTCTCTATGTCAATCGATGTGCATTATCAAAACATTTGCAAAACGCAATTTAAATTTATGGTTTGAATTGAGATTGCGTGAGTACAATTTTGCAATTCACTTTGAGGCGACATTCCGAACTATGTTGCACAAACCAATCTCATTTGCGAACATTCTCCAATGAATGTACACAATTTCAGGATTGAAACTCCTTTACGTTCTTTGAATTCAATCTATTGAAATTCCAATGTAAATTTGAAAATCTTGAATAAAATACCAAGTTTATGATAATAAACCCTTGAATCAACCCATTTTATACTCGATCAAATGGATAAAGTAAAACTTCGAGTACTCATGACCACCATAGTGTAAAAATATTATTTAACTACTGATGCTAATCACGACATTTATGAAAACATAAAAAAATGGAGTGCATTTTGCATCATTTTTGTTATCAAATAGATTTTTCGACTATATTCGAATACATACAGCTATAGCTAAACTTAAGCTATTCAAAAAAAAAGAATTGAACTTACCATTGTGATGGTGGAGTACATTGGGAGTTTACCCAACCGAATTGGTGGTGGAAATGGTTCACGGCATGCGGCTGAATCCCCGGCACCCAAACCAGCGACATATGCACACCCGACGACTAAATAGCAAATGGCTAAAAACACAATTGCCCGCTCCGGGTACCGAAACCGTGAAGAGTCGATCAAAAATGTCAACACCTAATTTGAATAAAATTTAAAAAAAAAACACATTTGCGTTAATGCAATTTCGAAAATTCAATTTAAAACAACAATTTTGAAGAAAAAAAACATAAATTTTTGATTAAACACGAGAGATTAGCTCTCAAAAGCGTATGCATAATAATTAGACTTTGACTTCACAAATACCATAGGAAGCGTGACAACAATTCAAATCAAATTAAAAATTCCTCGATTTTTGAATAAAACCAACTTTCATTGTTCGTCATGAGTACAATTAAGGCGATGTCACTGACTGCATTCGGTGTAAATCGATTAAACGTTGTGCGTGTGTGCGCATTTAAAAACCAATTAAGAAAATGAAAATCCCAGAACAATGGTAGAAATTGAAGCCAATACACAGTCCTGGTATATATGTAAATGTGTTGTTTGCATGCGCAACTACGATTGTTGCGAGAGACAGAGAGAGAGAGAGAGAGAGAGAGAGAGAGAGAGAGAGAGGGATTTTATTACAACGATTCTACACAGAGCGAGACCAGAATGAATTTTTATTATATTCGATGCATGCGGATAGCTATGACCATAACGGTAGAAGGAAAATGCAATTTAAATTAGATCACGATCTCTCACTTTCAAGTGAGAGACTATTTTTTCTTTTGTGTGCAATTTTTAGTACGGGCGCAAATCGATCATCGCGTCGGAATTCCAAATCGTACCGACACTGCGACTAAAAATCGAAATATGAAAGTGATGTGACGATAAGGCTCAACCTCGATGGTTTTTTTTTTCATTCGATGGCCAAAACTTTGACTCTTATCAAACTCTCGACATAAAGTTAGCCGAATCTCACTTTTCAACAACTCATCGAACACAATTCGGACGGAAATGTTGCATTTCAACGTTTGAAACCATTTATTTTTGTAGTTTGTTGCAGAAAATCGATTTAATTTTGTCAATAAATTGAAAAAGTTACGTATTTGATTTCCAACTGAAATCGATCGTCTCTCATGATTCTTGTGACTCTCTCTCTCTCTCGTTCCATCTTCGTCGTGTTTTCTTCTTCTTCTTTGGTGTCTTAAATTTATTGCTCACGACCTTTTCCAGGTGAGTCAATGATCGAGTTACGTTCTGAATCGAATGTGTCAGGCCAACTATAAAACAATTGAATGCAAAATGGTGTGAAAGAGATGGAAAAGCATGAGCCCATGCGGTTCGTCGTCGTCGTCAACGTTGTTGCCATCATTTTCCTCTATTTTATGCAGAAATGAATTTGCACCAGTTTTTTCTTTCTTTTTGTGGCCACAGCCACCACTTCGATTGTTTGTTTGTTTATCGAGTAGAACATCGTCACTAACTTGACATTCGTTGAATATTCGTTGCTTTTGAAACGCTTCGATCAGAGCGAGAAAGAGGTAAGTTTATTCTTGCTCAGTTCGAGTAAACCATTTCGCGTATATTTAAAGAGAGGCAAAGTGAGGGTACTTGCTGAAGAACTATCTGGCTTTATAATAGCAGCAATATCGTCATTGAATAACAAGGGGACATCCATGGAATGGAACGTTTTTGCAAAAAGTGAATTTATTTTCAAATTACGGCAATCAAATTGGCAGGCAGAAAAACAAAGCAAAGACCATTAGGCTCTAGAGTGTGAACTTTTTGAAAGATTCGATAAAGAACAAATCACAATGAAGAACAAATTCAAAGTGATCCCCTAGTTTGCAAAATGGTTTCGACGAAATAAAATTCTCGCTCTCATCGAAAATAAAGAATTTAAGGTGCTTATTCGTTGGTGTCTATTCGTTGTTCAGCTGCTTCAATTTAACGATAAAACAATCCTTCACGTACGGGCGCGCACGTTAAAAGCGTGGATGGTTCAGCTTTGAGCTATGTCCAAGCGCAAGTTTCGATGGTGATGCGCTTCCAGATGGTCGTTGGCAAAATGAAATGAAGGCGCACAACATTTATCGAAATGTATTTGAGCAACGAAAATGCAATAGACACCAAACATACAGAGAGAGAGAGAGAGAGAGAGAGAGAGAGAGAGAGAGAGAGAGAGAACGAAAGGTAAAGAAGATCGAGTATATGTCGAAACAAAGGGAATCGCAGCAAATTCGCAATGTGAAACAGAGAGAAGAGTGCTGAAAATATACAAATGTACACAAAATAGTAGCAGTTAGACAATCGAGAAGGAGAAAAAAAAGTTAACGAAGAACTTTCAAATGTTGTTCAACGCATACAATGTGCTATATTCAAGCGGATCCGAATGAACTCCAACTGTAAACGACATGTGAACAGAAGAGAGCGTAAGTAGTGGTTTCTCTCTACCTTTGACTCAATACAGATAGAAGAGAGGAAAAAAAGTACATTCCGCACTTGAGAATTGCACATATCGTTGAGTAGAAACGAACGAGTGAGCGAGAGCTGAATGAACGAATATGTTCGGTATGGAACAGCAGCAAAAGTAGTTGTTGCCATTGCACTGACACTGTCGTTATTTGCGCACCTTTAAATTATCCCATGGGCAAGATGAACGACACACACCGAGAAAAAACAGCAACTCAACAACGCTAAAAAGGTTGCCAGTATATGTTGTCAGCAGTCAGGAGGAAAAAAAAGGTGAGCGAATATTCACACTTTGAACCAAACACACACACACACACCGAACGTTTGCAATTGTCGTTTCGCCACGACGACAAACATTTACCTTAGCACATGGGAAATGAAAATGTTTTACATGCGTTTAAAATGTGCACAATATGTATTTAACAGTTGTTACCACCGCAATCAAACGTTTTCGCTATTGCGCTTCTATCGAAACGCGCGCACGGGATGAGTATAGCGGAATTCGAAACAGCCAGATGCTTGAGAAGAATAACAACAGGAAAAAAACAACTGTGTACATTACACTGTGGAACTCTCATGTGGCTCTCTCTCTTTCTCTGTCGTTTGGTTTGTATCACGACAATTACACAATGGTATCTTGAACATTTCGTCGCTCAGTCCCGGCCAACGTTTAATTCAGGCATTTTCATTTTGATCATACATAGCAGCATTCATAATTCATTTGGTTTGTTGCACGCCGCTGCTTAGACACATTCACGCCAATTAGTGGCTACAAATTGATCAATTCAACTCGACCAGCCGAAAAACGATGCACAGACATTAATTACCCGCGCCTTTTCATTCGCTCGAAACGAAGTTCACGCTGATTCATCTCGACAAAATGCACATTCATGACAGAAACATGCATTTTGGAAGTGGAGAAAATGCAAACAGAGAGTTCAGCCAAGCGTTTTCTTTTGTTGTAAAACTCAGAATCGCTTCTTTCACTGTAAAACTTCCATGAACGACCCAGTTTTCTCAGTGATAAAGCAACTTTTTTTAATACAAAACTCGATTTTTCGGAGAGAGATTTTTGTCAGTCCCGACTAAACAAATTCGCGTTCACATTTTTTTTTTGAAATTCCAAGGAAAAAATGCACCAGATGTTTTTATACAAAATATAAAACTTGAATTGGATTTTTTTTATTACAGTTTTTTTGAGACAATTTAGTGACAATTTCCCGAATTTCATGCGTCTTAATGATTCGTGACAAAAGCGAGAGGGGAGATTTTTCATATCCAAAATATGGCTGGAAAAATGTTTTTCATGATAAAATGAAAAAAAAAACACGATTTTGTTAATAAAAAAACAGCATCTTTGTTAGGAAAACCACACAACTTATGTTGGAAATTCCGCTTTTTGTGTAGGAAAAAATCATGTTTGTCACGAGTCGTTTTTTTCTAAACGAAAAGTTTGCTATTTTCGTCAGAATCTCTCAACACCTCGGCGTGTAAACTTTCCTAATCTTCGTTTTCATGCCATAAATCTCCGAGCAATAAAATCTAATGTAAATAACGTTAAAATGACACTGCAAAACGCAATTGGATTGAGACTACACTGTATACACACACACACACACACATGTTCAAAAAACATGAAACCGCACGTATTTCCTGATCTAAAATTTGATATTCTGAGACACAACTTACCGTAAAGAGACAGCTGGCACAGCAAACAGCAGCCCAAGATCCAACCCAGTATCGTAAAATGGTGCGTTCATTCTCCTTGAAAAACAACGCATGACACGGAGCTCCGCAATTTTTGGTTTCCTGTAAACGAAAAAAAAAACCACACAAATTAAATTAATGTTTCAATTTCACAAGAGTTTTTAGTTTCAATTGGAAATTTCAATAAGAAAACATTTGTCTCAAGATAGAAGTCTCAAATGTGAAATAAAAAACTGTATCCCAGTTCCAATTAGCTTGGTTTTGATATCAATGACTTAACAAATTCTCGACAGTTTGACATTCATTAAAATAATTTATTCTTTAATCGCATCCCTTTCTCATTCATTTAAATTAGCAAAAGGCAGATCATTTCGTTTATTTTCTCTCCTTCGATGCATTTTATGTGCGCTTGAAGTTCCGAGCTCAGCTCAATAATCAAGACATTTGGTTCGGTTGTTACATTAGCGCGACATTATCATTGGATTCAACGTGTGATGCTCTTTAAATTCCAAAAGTGCCTGTGTGGACGGTGGCGAGAGAGAAAAAAAATAGGTGCACCGTGTACGTATTTCGAATGAGCTGGTTTTTCGAGCAAAATAAGCGAAAGAACAAAAAAAAACAAAGTAAAAACCGGGCTCAGATCCAACAGAGCGCCTAAATGGAAACTGGATATACATATAACGAGAAATTGAAATTTTTTTTTCTTTCGAAACGGCACAAAAACTCTAAATCCATAATCTGTTCATTTTACAAGATTAAAACATATCCACGAGCCTATTTCATTCATTCGAAACATCCTATAATCTTTAGACGACACTTCAACTCTTAACTAGCGACATCAAGCTGTAACAGCAGTGCCCAGAAGAAGAAGAAGTAGTTGAAAACAAAATCCGACATACTTTGTGATAAGAACTTGTTTTTATGATTTCCCTCTTGTTTTCTTCATTAGTTAAAGCGGGTTTTCTATGCAACGTGTGTTTTTGTTTTTATTGTTGTTGTTTCTCTGTGTACGCCAAAGTTGATGCCTTCTTAAGTTTTAAATTTATCACAATTGCTACACCGTAGAGGTGGCGCTTATATTGCATTTGCACTTCAAACGTGCAACGCAATGCGAAATTCCGCAAACAAAACAAAGAATTTCCATCATGAATTTGCATACTGTAATGCTAAATGAATAAATAAGACATGGTGGCCAGAACATTGCGTCGTCGATGTCGTCTTCGTCGGTCGTCGCACATTGTGCGAAGGACGAGACTTAAGTCATAATTTCGATTGGCCTAGCTGTGGTTAATTTTCCAAAACGGTGATATTCTTCTCATCATCATCACATCAACGCAGTTCTCTCTTATCTCTCTCCTCTCGTCTCTTCCTTTTATTCCGTCCATCAGATCGGTTATCAATTGATTGGTTCTTATCAATATGCTGTACATCAATTTTCAATTTGAGATAAGACCAAGTGCCAAATGCAAAACGAGTTGTGTGTCACGGATTTTTTAGCCAGATGCCATGGCAGCTTATGGAAATTAAATAAAAGCCCATCGTCCGAAAATGCGGCGAGCGAAGAGAAGAAGAAATCAAAACCAGTTGCCATATTTTATTCAGTGGTTTGAATATCGGTTATTATTGAACGATATACAGTTTTAAATGGGACCATTTCATATTTCTCGGCTGCTTGACTACGGTAAAATTTTATAGCCATAATTTTGTATTGTAGCCACACTAACTGATAAAATAATATCAATATTGGTGTGGGGTAATCGAAGCAATGGCAAAAATTACAGTTTTCCACCGGTTGAATGACAAAATGATATTTGTTTCGGGCTGCAATGGCACATGACGTTGCACAATCAACTCCAACTAATAATATTCTGCTGGATATATTCAATTATCCAAATCATAATTGATAAGCAAACTGGTCGAACCGCTGGTTGACTTCGAATAATAACTGCATACAGAGACAACAATTCATATCATTCATAGAGTGTCGCGCATGAACGACAAACGAGTAGAGAGAGAGAGAGAGAGAGAGATAGAGGGGGGGGGGGGAAGAATCAAGAACCATATTCAAGAGAAAAAAGATGATTGAATCAATAGCTGCCTATTCAATACGAACATCAAACATGCAAGACATAAGAAAACGCATTTATTCACATCCATTCTTTATCATTTTCAACCCACTCTCGCGTGCGCGCACATCATTTGATGCGACGAGGTGATGTGGAAGAAAAAAAAAACTATAAACATTTTTTATGGCATTTACTAATTACATTAAGTAGAAAAGGTTCATAAAAGGTACGAAAAAAGCGATTCATTCTATTATGACCTGTGCAAGCCAAATTAGATGGTTCGATAAAGAGACTGGAAACAGAAATGCTCAAGTTTAAGAGTTAAGCCAAATGGTTTTTGAGACTCGCAACACATACACAACGCTCTCTTTTGCTCGCTCGCTCACGAGCTATTAGCACATTCTTTCATTCATTGTTATCTAGAATATTGTACAATCGCTTTAATGTGATGCCGAAACGACTTTCATTACACAGATTTTTGTGTATGTGCACTTTCGGAATCGGCCGGAATGTGTTTTAACGTTTTGTGTGTGTTTTTTTTGTTCGTTTCGACTTTCATCACAATCATCACTTTAGCACACACACACACCGGCGATCAGGGCTGACCGTGGCTATCGATTATTATGAATGTGAAATTAATAATAGTGGAGGAGAAATGTCGGTTCCGTTCGCTTCGCGCCTCATTCCAGTGATGCTGCTGCTACTGCTGCAGGGTACCACTCGATTTATTTCGCCTCTTTGGCAATATAATAATGATGCACGCAAAAAAAAGGCGACGGCCTGCCCGTCAGTCATTTTCTCCATGAGGTGTTTGAAGCGAATTACTACTCTTAGCGCACCCGAATAGACAGATAGCTGAGCTAGCTCAACATGATGATGAACATCTGCACAGCTATCCAACCATTCCAATCCAAAATAGATTTACGCGCTTGTAAAGTGTGATCGACGCGTAATTAACGTAACGATTCCACTCGGTTCATTCTCTTCTTGGTTTCATGTTTTTTTGCGCGCGCGCTATTCCACCTGTCAATTTCTCATCATTATGTCAGCATTTCGGAATGGAACCGAAAGAAAGTACGGGTATTTCACATATGCGTGAGTGGGAATATTATTCTATCTCTATGCCGTTCGCATAAAAATTATAAACACATTTCAAGAGAACACTCAACTCTTGCGCTCGGGTTTGTAATACGCAAAACACTTGAATCTTAAATATTTTATTGGATTCACGCTTATTATACATCCATGCTGCTGCTGCTACTGCTGCTGCTGATACATTTATTCTGAATGCAATGGTTTTATTGAGTTGTGCAAAATTTGCTTGTCTTTTTGTGTGCTGCTGATTTCCTGAATATCTTCTGCAAAGAGATTCCCTCACTGAAATTTATATGTTTTATCAATTTGATCGTTGGATTTTCATTTGATTATATGAACGTTATCAGGCATGCCAATAACGCTTTTGAATGAGGGAATTACACGCATACTGGCATGTATCATTGCCGTAAATCAGCATAGCTGAAATATCTCAATTCTTTCTTTTTCTCTTTGGATTCTTTTTTTCTTCGCTCGCTTGCCGAGGCTAACAATCTCAACGCTTAATGTGGAAAATGCATTGCAATTAATGAAGCTTGTAAATCTTCAATTAGCTGCTGTATTCTTATCAATTGTGATTACGCGGTAGAAGAAAAAAACACATACTCTCTTTCTCTCTCCATTTCTCTTTCTTTCTCCTTGTCTGTCTCTGTCTCTTTGTTTCTCTCTTTCTCCGCCTTCGGTCCAAGCCTAGCAAGTCACGGTCAAGAACTTCAACTTCAACGGCTTGTTCGAGAGCGATGCAAACTTGAGGAAACTCGTTTCCGTGCCAATTTTTGTCTATTTGTAGAAAAGGTTACGCAGACAAATTCTCTGCTTGAGCCACCGTTTTAACCGATGCAAACGAAACACTTCCTTATTGCCCAGTGCGAAATTTCCAACAAGCATCAGCATTGAATTCATATTCTTCTGATTTTCATTCCATATTCTCAGGATTGTTTTTTTCATATTATTTGAATTGTGTGTGTCTTTTTTGTCGTATACAGAAGCTGATCCACCATAATCTTGCGATTTATTGATGGTTTTTACAGTACATGATTCGAGTGCTTGAAAAAGGTCGAGAAAAAAAAATGCTTAACCCATTCGTTGTTTTTGTTGTGCGTTGTTATTTTTTTCCTTTGAATTTAAATTACATGCTCTAACGATCAATTTGTTGAAAACGAAGAAATAAATGTTAAGTATAACGACGCAAGAGGGAGAGAGGGCAAAAGCCGAGCATTGAAAATTATTGATGTTTTGTGAATTTATGGCAAAAAGTCGATTAAGATGAGAACCATTTTTATCTTGACCATGTTATGATACATTGCTTGAAATTTGATTTATTTACGCTCGCGTTTTTTCCCTTCTCTCCTGCACTTCGAACGCAATTTGTTTCCATTCTAATGAAACGTTTCATTGAACGCGCGCGCACTAGCACCACAGTGCGCACAGCAAAAAAGGATAGAGCGAGCATTAGCATCAGTGGCAACGAGAGAGAGTGAGAAGTAAAAAAAAAGTCACACTTAGCCTCAGTCAATGTGCGTTGCAAACTTGTTTGACTCATTTTAGTTTTGAAACCTTCAAAACGCACCAATGAAGATTTTTGTGTATGATGCCGTATTTTTTTTTTATCGCACTCTTCAATCACTGTTTCGAAACACTTGAACATAGCTTGCAAGTACATTGGATGTAATAAGATTTACTACGGAGCAGGATTAAGCACAAGCGTATATATTAAAATAAGCGAATTTTTCACAAAACTAATCCCAACAACGAGAAAAATTACCCCATCCATTTGGAATTGAAGTGATCTGTGTTAACGAATAGTTTTTGCTGTGAGTTGATGTACTGAGGAGGGAAAAACAGAGATAGAGTCGAAAAAGGATTGATGTTGAAGAATAGCACAAGTTTAAGAAGAAGATGATGAACATTTTAACTTTGAATGGAATGCATAAATATTACGCT